GTAAGATTTTAATTTGCAAAGACATTAATATCTTATCTGTGTCTCCTGGAATAATGGATAATATGTGGATTATTTATGGACATTAATCAACATTTATGGACCTATGGCTCTATGTGTTTGTCTTAAAACACGTCCCTTCTGGTGTAAAAACTGGGCTAGTCCGGTGTTGTGGTGTGTGGCTACAGTGAGGCCTGCGTGAGCATAGGGACAGGGCACACAGGGCACAGCCTCAGGGCCACTCAATAACAATAATGAGTGAGTCAGTGATCTGCTATCGACAGAGTGAGAGAAACCGTATCAATCATTGGCTGTTTAATAAGGAAGGTCAACGGTTAAGGGATTTCCACTGAACATGGATTAAAGGGGACACGACTTGGAGGATCGACTTTCACAGCTTTTCACAAACAGTGTTTATTTATCTACACACGCAAAGTTCAGAGTCCTGTGTGTTTGAGTCAGACTGGAGACGCAATTACCAACTTCATGAACTCGCAGTAGGCTCGGTACTCGTTATACAGTATGAGTCCTGGTCTGCAGCCTCAGTCCTGGATCTACAGCCTCAGTCCTGGTCTGCAGCCTCAGACCTGGGTCTACAGCCTCAGTCCTGGATCTACAGCCTCAGTCCTGGATCTACAGCCTCAGTCCTGGATCTACAGCCTCAGGCCTGGGTCTACAGCCTCAGGCCTGGGTCTACAGCCTCAGTCCTGAGTCTACAGCCTCAGTCCTGGATCTACAGCCTCAGTCCTGGGTCTACAGCCTCAGTCCTGGGTCTACAGCCTCAGTCCTGGGTCTACAGCCTCAGTCCTGGATCTACAGCCTCAGGCCTGGGTCTACAGCCTCAGGCCTGGGTCTACAGCCTCAGTCCTGAGTCTACAGCCTCAGTCCTGGATCTACAGCCTCAGTCCTGGGTCTACAGCCTCAGTCCTGGGTCTACAGCCTCAGTCCTGGGTCTACAGCCTCAGTCCTGGATCTACAGCCTGTCTGTCTGTGGGAGCGGATATATGTACCTGTGTCTCTGTGTCTATATGTACCTGTGTCTCTGTGTCTATATGTACCTGTGTCTCTCTGTGTCTATATGTACCTGTGTCTATATGTACCTGTGTCTATATGTACCTGTGTCTCTGTGTCTATATGTACCTGTGTCTCTGTGTCTATATGTACCTGTGTCTCTGTGTCTATATGTACCTGTGTCTCTCTGTGTCTATATGTACCTGTGTCTCTGTGTCTATATGTACCTGTGTCTCTGTGTCTATATGTACCTGTGTCTCTCTGTGTCTATATGTACCTGTGTCTCTGTGTCTATATGTACCTGTGTCTCTCTGTGTCTATATGTACCTGTGTCTCTCTGTGTCTATATGTACCTGTGTCTCTGTGTCTATATGTACCTGTGTCTCTCTGTGTCTATATGTACCTGTGTCTCTGTGTCTATGTGTACCTGTGTCTCTGTGTCTATATGTACCTGTGTCTCTGTGTCTATATGTACCTGTGTCTCTGTGTCTATATGTACCTGTGTCTCTCTGTGTCTATATGTACCTGTGTCTCTGTGTCTATATGTACCTGTGTCTCTGTGTCTATATGTACCTGTGTCTCTGTGTCTATATGTACCTGTGTCTCTCTGTGTCTATATGTACCTGTGTCTCTCTGTGTCTATATGTACCTGTGTCTCTGTGTCTATATGTACCTGTGTCTCTCTGTGTCTATATGTACCTGTATCTCTCTGTGTCTATATGTACCTGTGTCTCTGTGTCTATATGTACCTGTGTCTCTGTGTCTCTGTGTCTATATGTACCTGTGTCTCTGTGTCTATATGTACCTGTGTCTCTGTGTCTCTGTGTCTATATGTACCTGTGTCTCTGTGTCTATATGTACCTGTGTCTCTGTGTCTATATGTACCTGTGTCTCTGTGTCTCTGTGTCTATATGTACCTGTGTCTCTGTGTCTCTGTGTCTATATGTACCTGTGTCTCTGTGTCTATATGTACCTGTGTCTGTGTCTATATGTACCTGTGTTTCTGTGTCTATATGTACCTGTGTCTCTGTGTCTATATGTACCTGTGTCTCTGTGTCTATATGTACCTGTGTCTCTCTGTGTCTATATGTACCTGTGTCTCTGTGTCTATATGTACCTGTGTCTCTCTGTGTCTATATGTACCTTTGTCTCTGTGTCTATATGTACCTGTGTCTCTCTGTGTCTATATGTACCTGTGTCTCTCTGTGTCTATATGTACCTGTGTCTCTGTGTCTATATGTACCTGTGTCTGTGTCTATATGTACCTGTGTCTCTGTGTCTATATGTACCTGTGTCTCTGTGTCTATATGTACCTGTGTCTCTGTGTCTATATGTACCTGTGTCTCTCTGTGTCTATATGTACCTGTGTCTCTGTGTCTATATGTACCTTTGTCTCTGTGTCTATATGTACCTGTGTCTCTCTGTGTCTATATGTACCTGTGTCTCTCTGTGTCTATATGTACCTGTGTCTCTGTGTCTATATGTACCTGTGTCACTGTGTCTATATGTACCTGTGTCTCTCTGTGTCTATATGTACCTGTGTCTGTGTCTATATGTACCTGTGTCTCTCTGTGTCTATATGTACCTGTGTCTCTGTGTCTATATGTACCTGTGTCTCTGTGTCTATATGTACCTGTGTCTCTGTGTCTATGTGTACCTGTGTCTCTCTGTGTCTATATGTACCTGTGTCTCTGTGTCTATATGTACCTGTGTCTCTGTGTCTATATGTACCTGTGTCTCTCTGTGTCTATATGTACCTGTGTCTCTGTGTCTATATGTACCTGTGTCTCTGTGTCTATACGTACCTGTGTCTCTGTGTCTATATGTACCTGTGCTCCTCTCTCCTTGTTGTATGTCTTTGTCATTTTGAGTTTCACTAAATCACATATCTTTTGGGTTATGGGTATGGATATTATTAGTATTTCTTTATGTTATTACTATTATTATTATTTATCATTTAACACTAAAAAACGGATCCCATTCAGCATTATTCACTCCTGTATGTATTTTTCACTTAATAAAAATAAAAACCCATATGTTTAGGCTCCTCCTCCTCGTCACTGATGCCATCTTTCTCCCATGGAACACTGTTTTCTTAGAGCTCCAGATTATCAACAGCCCACACGTCAAACTGCAGCCATTTTGTGTTTTTAGGAGCTCAAAGTTCACCGTGTCCAGACAGGAAGTTCCCACTGAAGTCTTTCTTCTCATGGCGGCCGTCTGTGCCCGGAATAACGGTGCTGAGTGGGAGCCCGGGCCCGTTCACAGCTCAACAAAAACAATCACACACAGAACCAGGAGAGGAGAGGGGAACACCGAGGCCCTCTGCTGGACACCGGGGGAATGGACTGTAGTGACGCCATGGAAATAAAATATTTAAAGTGTTAATATGTAAGATTTTCATGTCAAGTAATCATTAAGGGCCCTAATCTGTCATCATTAAAGAGCCCTAATCTGTCATCATTAAAGAGCCCTAATCTGTCATCATTAAAGGGCCCTAATCTGTCATCATTAAAGGGCCCTAATCTGTCATCATTAAAGGGCCCTAATCTGTCATCATTAAAGAGCCCTAATCTGTCATCATTAAAGGGCCCTAATCTGTCATCATTAAAGGGCCCTAATCTGTCATCATTAAAGGGCCCTAATCTGTCATCATTAAAGGGCCCTAATCTGTCATCATTAAAGGGACCTAATCTGTCATCATTAAAGGGCCCTAATCTGTCATAAATAAAAGGGCCCTAATCTGTCATCATTAAAGGGCCCTAATCTGTCATCATTAAAGGGCCCTAATCGGTCATCATTAAAGGGCCCTAATCTGTCATCATTAAAGAGCCCTAATCTGTCATCATTAAAGGGACCTCATCCGTCATCATTAAAGGGCCCTAATCTGTCATCATTTAAGGGACCTCATCTGTCATCATTAAAGAGCCCTAATCTGTCATCATTAAAGGGCCCTAATCTGTCATCATTAAAGGGCCCTAATCTGTCATCATTAAAGGGCCCTAATCTGTCATAAATAAAAGGGCCCTAATCTGTCATAAATAAAAGGGCCCTAATCTGTCATAAATAAAAGGGCCATAATCTGTCATCATTAAAGGGCCCTAATCTGTCATCATTAAAGGGCCCTAATCTGTTATCATTAAAGGGCACTAATCTGTCATAAATAAAAGGGCCCTAATCTGTCATCATTAAAGGGCCCTAATCTGTCATAAATAAAAGGGCCCTAATCTGTCATCATTAAAGGGCCCTAATCTGTCACAATAATAAACTTCTATTTTCCAATACTTCTTTAACTGATAACAGTAGTTCAGAAATATCTGAATTTCAAAAGTAGTTTTCCAGCCCTTAAATCCATAAGTTTTTCTTTCATTTCGATGTCCTGCCCTCCACCGTTTCACCAATCAGAAAGTCTGTGATCCGGGCGCCAGATCTCACCGCGTGGAGCTAATCTCACTGCTAAAGAACCATGTGGCGCAGAACTAAAAAAGGTCTCGTTATGATTCTCAAACAATTAACGACAAAACAAAGAATAAAACCGGGATTTCTATCTTTGTGAAAAAGGTGTTAATTATAGATTTGTTGTTGACAAAACTCTTGTCTATTCAGCTGTTATGGTCCCAGCTGGATTCGTCTGCATATCTGGCAACCTGAGTCAGGGAGAGTGGGAGAGGCTGCAGTACCACTTTTGGAAACATTTTTACAAACTGCTAATTCAAATGTCCGCAGATGCACCAACGGGACTTGAGCCTCGTCTAAGTCAGAGGCGTCAAACTCATTTTTTTCCGGGGCCAAGTTTAAAAACATAAGAGCAGGTTAGGGCCAAAAGTATCAAAGTGGTTTTCTTTAATCATCATTATTTCTTGAAAATTGAATTGAATACTTAATATTAATTTAACCTGTGCTGCTCATTCCTACTGTTCTGACATGTCCCCACCTCTCTTAACCTACTTCCAAACGTGGAATGCTTAGAGGGACTCCTATTTGCGTAACACCGTCTGACTTGTCCTGGGCGTTGGACGGTGGTTTGGCTGCGCTGTGATTGGGCGGGACTGGGTGGGTGTGTCAGAGCGTGGCGGGTCTTCACACCGAGCATGATGGATGAGGAGACCCGACACCAGGCCTGCGTCACCACCCGCGCTCCAGACGTCAATCCATCTGAGCCACATACAGACCAGTGTCATCTGAAACCACTACAGCCTCTGCCCAGTGTCCCAGAGGAATTCCACACAGGGAGCCAGTGTTAGCATTAGCATTAGCATTAGCATTAGCATTAGCATTAGCAGTAGCAGTATATGTACCTATAGACCCGGCATGGATCCCTGTGTCACGTCATCTGGCCCACTGCTGCTAACACAAAGTTGTTATTGAGGGATTTCCAGTGACATCAACCTAATATACTGAGAGAGGAGCACAGGGACTGGCCTCCTGCTGGGACTCTGAGGAGCACAGGGACTGGCCTCCTGCTGGGACTCTGAGGAGCACAGGGACTGGCCTCCTGCTGGGACTCTGAGGAGCACAGGGACTGGCCTCCTGCTGGGACTCTGAGGAGCACAGGGACTGGCCTCCTGCTGGGACTCTGAGGAGCACAGGGACTGGCCTCCTGCTGGGACTCTGAGGAGCACAGGGACTGGCCTCCTGCTGGGACTCTGAAAACTTGGGGAGGCAGCGTTTCTGATTCATGCACCTACAATCTGGGACAGTCTTCCTGAAGGTAAGTAAGTAGTAAGCTTTATTTATATACCGCCTTTCACAGACCAGAGTCACAAAGCGGTTTACAATTGTTATTTTTTGGGCACTTGTCTCTCACTCCACACAGAGATGGGAGCCGGGTCGCCAGTACAGGAGGCGCATGCCAGACCTATTGTACATATTTTTAGTGGTAGGGGAAACCGGAGTACCCGGAGGAAACCTACGCAGACACAGGGAGAACATGCAAACTCCACTCAGAAAGGCCCTGGTCCGGCCGGGATTCGAACCCAGGACCTTCTTGCTGAGAGGCGAGAGTGCTATCCACTCAGCCACCGTGCCGCCGCCGTGCTGAAGGAGTGAGACAGGCCACTACTCTTGGTTTTAAATGTTGGTAGCATTTAGTTTGATTCTCTAATCTGTTGTTGAGGAGTGTGGTAAAGTCCTCTGCTATATACAAATAAATTGGGTTGGATTAAAGGGGAGGTCCATTGTGTTCAGCCATTTTATTTACAAGTCTCTGCTTGGACCAAAGTTCAGAGTTAACTCAGAGTCTAAATATACAGAGTGTGGTATGTGCAGCGATGTGGGGACTCAGAGGGTACATTATGGGGTATCTCGGCTACGCTACATACACATACATGCATACACACTACACACATAAAGATAGAGAGAGAGACCAGAGAGAGACCAGAGATAGACCAGAGATAGACCAGAGAGAGACCAGAGAGAGACCAGAGAGAGACCAGAGAGAGACCAGAGAGAAACCAGAGATAGACCAGAGAGAGACCAGAGAGAGACCAGGGAGAGACCAGAGAGAGACCAGAGAGAGACCAGAGAGAGACCAGAGAGAGAGACCAGAGAGAGACCAGAGAGAGACCAGAGAGAGACCAGAGAGAGAGACCAGAGATAGACCAGAGAGAGAGACCAGAGAGAGAGACCAGAGATAGACCAGAGAGAGAGACCAGAGATAGACCAGAGAGAGAGACCAGAGATAGACCAGAGAGAGACCAGAGAGAGACCAGGACAGACCAGAGAGAGACCAGAGAGAGAGACCAGAGAGAGACCAGGAGAGAGACCAGAGAGAGACCAGAGAGAGAGACCAGAGAGAGACCAGAGAGAGACCAGAGAGAGACCAGAGAGAGACCAGAGAGACCAGAGAGAGAGAGAGACTCTTTTTATACTGCGAATGTTTAACACTGTTGATGGTCAAAAACAGAGACCTCAGACCTGCCACAACCAGGAACCAGGAACCAGGAACCAGGGACCAGGGACCAGGAGCTCATTTTTCCAGAATACTTATGTGAGAGGTTTCTGAGAAAGAGAGACCAGAGAGAGAGAAGCTGGTCCGCTCGCCCCTCCCTGGTGGCTGCAGATCTGAGGTGCTGTGTTTGATGGTCTTGGGTCCGATGGTCTGGGGTTCGATGGTGTTGGGACCAGGTGGGGGGAGGTGTTGTGGCCAAACTAGTGTTCTCTGCATGACTCTGGTATTTAAACTCCTGTGGATGTAAACACGTTTTTCTGTGGATCAAATATTAACTTTTCATAATCTTTTCTTACAAACTGTGTCTGTGTTTTTATTCATCAGACTCTGAACCACAGCACCACCACCGCCATCTGGTGGTGGGGGGCGACACTACATCTGCTCAGAGAGAGGGAGCAGAGAGAGAGACTATAAAGAGAGAGCAGAGAGAGACTTTAAAGAGAGAGCAGAGAGAGAGAGACTAGAAAGAGAGAGGCCAGAGAGAGACTTTAAAGAGAGAGCAGAGAGAGAGAGACTATAAAGAGAGAGCAGAGAGAGAGAGACTATAAAGAGAGAGCAGAGAGAGACTTTAAAGAGAGAGCAGAGAGAGAGAGACTATAAAGAGAGAGCAGAGAGAGACTTTAAAGAGAGAGCAGAGAGAGACTTTAAAGAGAGAGCAGAGAGAGACTTTAAAGAGAGAGAGAGACTAGAAAGAGAGAGACCAGAGAGAGAGACCAGAGAGAGAGACCAAAGAGAGATCAGAGAGAGAGACTAGAAAGAGAGAAACCAGAGAGAGAGACCAAAGAGAGATCAGAGAGAGAGAGAGACTAGAAGAGAGAGACCAGAGAGAGAGACCAGAGATAGAGACCAGAGAGAGATCAGAGAGAGAGACTATAAAGAGAGAGCAGAGAGAGACTTTAAAGAGAGATCAGAGAGAGAGAGACTAGAAAGAGAGAGACCAAAGAGAGATCAGAGAGAGAGACTATAAAGAGAGAGCAGAGAGAGACTTTAAAGAGAGAGCAGAGAGAGAGAGACTAGAAAGAGAGAGACCAGAAAGAGACACCAGAGAGAGACCAAAGAGAGATCAGAGAGAGAGAGACTAGAAAGAGAGAGACCAAAGAGAGATCAGAGAGAAACCCGAGAGAGAGACCAGAGAGAGACTACGTTTGGAGCTGATACTGACACACTAACTATCCATATTTTTCTTCCAATTCATCCATTGCCGGGTGGTAGGGGCAGCCAGAGGAGAGACAGATGTCCCTCTCCAAACACACTTCCTCCAGCTCATCTGGGGAGGCCTGAGGCGCTCCCAGGCCAGTGCTGGGATGTGATTCTCTGTAAGTCCATAGAAGTCCTTTACATCTTCAGATCGTCAAAAAGATAAATACAGACTCAAGTGTGCAAAAAGCAGACGGTTTGTTTGATTTGTTCACAACATTTTACTTTTAGCACAACTGACATGATGAAACAAGGGGAAATGTAGGTACCCCAGCTTTAATGTAGTGAGTATAAATGTCAGACTCGGGGACACTTCCTGAGGCTCCCATAATCCACCTCTGTGTCTTGCAAAGATGTATTCATCACGTGATAAAAGACCGGGAGCCGCCGTCATTTACCACAAACGGCTGAAGACGTGGTCGACCAAACGTGGAGCAGGTGCCACAGACCAGACTGTGTTGAACTTGGTAATGAGCTGTCTTAATCAACACACCTGGACCACGCCTTAATCATGTCATCATCATCACACCTGGACCACGCCTTAATCATGTCATCATCATCACACCTGGACCACGCCTTAATCATGTCATCATCATCACACCTGGACCACGCCTTAATCATGTCATCATCATCACACCTGGACCACGCCTTAATCAGCTGTCATCATCATCACACCTGGACCACGCCTTAATCATGTCATCATCATCACACCTGGACCACGCCTTAATCAGCCTGTCATCATCACACCTGGACCACGCCTTAATCAGTCGGTCATCATCATCACACCTGGACCACGCCTTAATCAGCCGGTCATCATCATCACACCTGGACCACGCCTTAATCAGCCTGTCATCATCATCACACCTGGACCACGCCTTAATCAGCCTGTCATCATCATCACACCTGGACCACGCCTTAATCAGCCGGTCATCATCATCACACCTGGACCACGCCTTAATCAGCCGGTCATCATCATCACACCTGGACCACGCCTTAATCATGTCATCATCATCACACCTGGACCACGCCTTAATCATGTCATCATCATCACACCTGGACCACGCCTTAATCAGCCGGTCATCATCATCACACCTGGACCACGCCTTAATCAGCCTGTCATCATCATCACACCTGGACCACGCCTTAATCATGTCATCATCATCACACCTGGACCACGCCTTAATCATGTCATCATCATCACACCTGGACCACGCCTTAATCATGTCATCATCATCACACCTGGACCACGCCTTAATCAGCCTGTCATCATCATCACACCTGGACCACACCTTAATCATGTCATCATCATCACACCTGGACCACGCCTTAATCAGCCTGTCATCATCATCACACCTGGACCACGCCTTAATCATGTCATCATCATCACACCTGGACCACGCCTTAATCAGCCTGTCATCATCATCACACCTGGACCACGCCTTAATCATGTCATCATCATGTGACGGGGTGAGCCCGTCCCTGAGCACGCTGTCCCACGGAGCGCATGTGAAGATGCGCGCGCCCGGTGCCATGGTGGCTGCGCGCAACGGCCAAGCCCATTCATTGACTACTGCTAGGGACTGTGTTTGTGACATGTGGCGTGCGTGAACGCGTCTTCAGGGTGCACACTTGGAAGCGTTGCATGGTGTTAAATCTGTTACATGTGTCATTCACTCGCCTGTGCTGGCGTGGTCGTGGCGTCTCCATGGTGCGGTTCGGCAAACCCGGACATAAGGAGCCGTGGATTAAATGCACCTGTCTGTGGGTCATGTGACCACAGCTCATTTGCATGGACATTTGGACTCTTTGCAGTGTGTAGCTCATAATGTATTTTATGGTAAATGTGTCAATGTGGAACTGTATTATGAAATCATGAACATAAGGAAATACTCATGTAGTGTAGATATGATGTTTTATCCGATGATTGATTTGTAATGTGGGAGGGGCCAGCAGGGTACAAAAGGTGTGCTTGTCTGCCCCATGAGAGTCGTGACTCGGTTACAGTGAAGGTAACGTGGACTGCAGGAGCAAGTGTTACAGTATAGGGAAAAGAGACTTAGTGTTGAAGTCGTGCATATTTATTGTAAATATCCTTTTTGCCGATAGTCTTTTCACTGTGCTCTGTAAATACGTTTTTTGTAATTTCCCACTGTTTTTCTACTGAGAGTTTTTAATTAAAAACTTCTGAAAACGCCCTTTCCGACCCAGCCATGTGTTCTGTTTTAAACGAACCTTCACACATCATCACACCTGGACCACGCCTTAATCAGCCTGTCATCATCATCACACCTGGACCACGCCTTAATCAGCCTGTCATCATCATCACACCTGGACCACGCCTTAATCAGCCTGTCATCATCATCACACCTGGACCACGCCTTAATCATGTCATCATCATCACACCTGGACCACGCCTTAATCAGCCTGTCATCATCATCACACCTGGACCACGCCTTAATCATGTCATCATCATCACACCTGGATCACGCCTTAATCAGCCTGTCATCATCATCACACCTGGATCACGCCTTAATCAGCCTGTCATCATCATCACACCTGGACCACGCCTTAATCATGTCATCATCATCACACCTGGACCACGCCTTAATCATGTCATCATCATCACACCTGGACCACGCCTTAATCATGTCATCATTATCACACCTGAACCACGCCTTAATCATGTCATCATCATCACACCTGGACCACGCCTTAATCATGTCATCATCATCACACCTGGACCACGCCTTAATCAGCCTGTCATCATCATCACACCTGGACCACGCCTTAATCAGCCGGTCATCATCATCACACCTGGACCACGCCTTAATCATGTCATCATCATCACACCTGGACCACGCCTTAATCATGTCATCATCATCACACCTGGACCACGCCTTAATCAGCCGGTCATCATCATCACACCTGGACCACGCCTTAATCATGTCATCATCATCACACCTTAATCATGTCATCATCATCACACCTGGACCACGCCTTAATCATGTCATCATCATCACACCTGGACCACGCCTTAATCATGTCATCATCATCACACCTGGACCACGCCTTAATCATGTCATCATCATCACACCTGGACCACGCCTTAATCATGTCATCATCATCACACCTGGACCACGCCTTAATCATGTCATCATCATCACACCTGGACCACGCCTTAATCAGCTGTCATCATCATCACACCTGGACCACGCCTTAATCATGTCATCATCATCACACCTGGACCACGCCTTAATCACCTGTCATCATCATCACACCTGGACCACGCCTTAATCACAGGAAACTTGTCTACTGTTTTGTTCAAAAAGTTGAGTGGGCGGTTTTTCTTCAGTTTTTAGAATCAGCCATAGTTTTGTTGATCAAATCAAAGTGTACCTGATTATGACTGTAACTGGCCCAAGAATATTATGACTTCATAAAAAGCTGGGTTTTCACCACATAGAAAAAAAAACTATGTAATGAAATGCATTCTAACTTCTCTCCAACTGTTTGGTTTCTATACAAGTTTGAAAAAGCTCAAGCTTTTTACAGTAGCTACATGTTTAAAACAATGTGAATTAGCTTTGTGCAGATATACAAGATTATGTCTTGTTGGTATGAGACTTCACTAATTTAGAAATGTTTTAATCAATTGAACCCTAACCCAAAATGCTAATGAAGAGAAAACTTTTGACGTTCTTGAAACAGGATTTGCCAAATGGAAAAAGAAATACACTGGCTTTGCAAGCTTGATATAAGATTGTTGCTTTCAGCATTTGTGCCATTTCAAATCTTTGTGAAAGAACCTCAAATTATAATCAAGATAAAAACCACTTGATCCATTCTAGCACACATTATGATTTACTTTATTTCATCTGTACAAGGAGTAGCTCACTGCCATTTTATCCAGTGAAGAAGCTGGTAGCTGTGGTCTTCCCATAAAGTACAATTAAAGTTTGTCAAATTTAACACTGTGACAACTATATAAATTGTATATCATTTCACTGTATCGATCACTAGACAGTTTATAATGATAGGTTTCTATTGAGCGTATTTAGAGTAGCTCAGAACCCAGCAGTTATGTATATTTTGTAGTGGGGGGGGGCTATTTCATCTTTGCTCTTATGCTGGACCTGTAAGTGCGCTGCAACATTTGAAAATACCCCACTGTGGGACAAATCAAGGTTCTCTTATCTTATGTTTAAATAGGAAGGTATAAAAGGAGGAATATCCCAAATATGAGAAAGAAACGGCTCCTCCACTTTTTGAGCAAAACTCTTCTGGTCTTCTTCGGACGAGCACGTGTCACAGAATGATTAACCAATTGGTAGACAAACGTCTTGATGATCCACGCGGCAAGTAGAACATCCTCTTAGTACCTTTAGCTATAGTCAAACACTGGGTCTTTAGAAATGATAGCCCAGGGACACTCATGTCACTCTGACCAGACCGGATCAGAGAGTCGTGTGTATACATCCTGTTACCAATTTGACTAAAATGATGATTACGCTTGCGGCATAGTCGTGTTTTATTAAAGCTATCCATTAGTTCAAGCTGCCGAGTACAAATAGCATCTGCTGTGCTGCTTTAATTGTCCTCTTAGTAATTTTGTAATGGTTGAAGTAGTGTAATGACAAGGTAAGAGTGGCTCCATAAAATAAAGTAATGGCTTCGATAAATGTCTGACAATTGACTTGATATAATTATGTTGCAGTCATTTATCCCACTTGCATAAAGACCTTGTTGAGTGCAAAGTTCCACTTGGCATTTTTATACGACCAAACAGCAGGCCGGCACAATACTACCAACCAGGCAAATTAAAACGTCATGAAGGAGATCACTTATTTTATTTATTTTTCATAGATTTTTGCAATGCGTTTGGCATTAACTTTTTGGATCTTGTCAGCTCAAAACATTACACAAGTCGTATCTTTGAAAATCAGCCAACCGCTTCTCTTAAGTCTTTATTTAATTTATTATACGATTATGGTTTTTGTTCAGGACAACAACATTGAAACACTTGTATAAGTTTTGAGTTTTTAGTCAAACATTGTTAAAAGGCCAGATTGTAAAAAACAAAAAAACTAATAAACTGCTAATTTACATTTATAGAATCCCAGGCGGGTCACCACAAGCTTATCTCCGCTGTTGAAACTATTGTGCACCACTTTTGCTGTCTATGGGGCTTTTCAAAATGGGACTCAGGCAGAAAATGTTGAAATAAATTGCCATGCGTTAGCCAGCACCAGCCCCCATTTCATTTAACGGGGGCTTCAAACGCCACAGCGGCTAAATAGCTGGTCAGCCTTCACAACACCAAGCAACTTCTGGACACATCCTGTACGCGGTTTTTGATGAGGACAGAATGGCAGCTATACAATAACTGGGTTTAATTCTCTTTCTGAGGTACACCCCACCCAGCCCAGAGTGAGATTGCTGTGGCATTGTCAGGGTGCTCATGGAACCTCTTGGGAGTTAGGGACCCGCCCCGTGGGTCATACAGGTTACAAGATGTAAAGGGGAGATAAGAAAAGACAAAATAAAATTATACAAATTCTAATTCTTGTTCTAATGAGTCCAGGTCAGGACCAAGTCACTTACAGTTAAACACACTGTTCTGGACCATTTTTTTCTTTTTCTTTTATTGATTATTTTTATTTATAAGTCAATTGTTATCAAAGTCACTCTTTAAGTCTTCCTGAGCCATAGTGGGACGTACAATTATCAAAAGTGACCCCAAATGATATTTTGGCAAAAGTTCAAGTGTTACAAAAAGCCTGTAATGCCCTCATTTGAATATTTTCTGAATACTAAAATGGATGTTGTCATATTAAAAGTCAACTCTCAGGGCATATAAAGTGGAAATTGGCTTTTCCTAACATTCCCTTTCAGCTTGTTTGTAAAACTTCTTGTTGTAAGATCAATGAATGCCCATTTAAATAACCCAGGGCTTTTGCCACAGTGATCTATGACAACAATACTGTATTTTGAAGCTTTGCCGAGTGGGAAATGTGCGAAGGGCAAAACTGCAGACAGGATGATTGAGCCTTATGGAAACTTAGGAAAAGCATCAGGGCCAACTAAGGACATAAGTAAGCTAGAATGGTGGTAGCAAAACTGTTGCATTTAACAAACCAATGCTGTTAATGGAGTTCTTTTAATCCAGGGGTCTCCAAAGAGCTCGGGAGTCACCCAGTAGCTCGCCACCCCTTCGTAGATCGCCTATATGATTAAGGTATGAAACAAATCAAATTATATAATTAATATTCCAGTGTTAGACAATATCATAATGTTAATTTATTATGGTAAAATTCACTTACTTTGTGCACTAGTAACAAATATGTGATGATAAATAATGAATGTGCCCAATATCAGGCTTTTTCCCACAAATGTATTCACTTTTTTTCTTCTTCTCAGGGCCGCTGAAAGGAGTAGCTCTCTGCCTTTATCGAGGTCGCGAGAACGTAGAGCTCATTGTTTCGTGAAAAAGAGTTGGAGACACAAGTTCTTTTCTGTAGCTCGTGACTCCCCTATGGTGTAGAAAGAGATGTAGCATGCCAAATTAACAGCTCAACCCATTTGGCACATTTCTTGACCTACGCATCAAGTTTTTTATAATAAAATGAGTTACCATTAGTGAACATTTTTCAAACTACTCTAACATTAAAAGTACAAATGAATGGAATACTAATAAGTGGGCTTTAATGGATTAACTTCCTGACCAAACCGCCCCAACATTGCGTACATATTCATTTTCGTTCCACGTCTTCTGTGAGAAAGTAAACTCGCAGCTCTTTCTGTGCTCTGAAACGCCGCCAAAGGCAGCAAGCTCAACATGTTTATGAGGCGTTCCATATTTAACAGCAGCCTGGTACAGAGGCGCGGATGTGTGCTCGGATTCATCGCTGCAAATGGTTCGGAAACAAATCGGTAATTGTATATTGCTTATTAATGTGAGGGTGATTGAGGTCTGACAGAGCTGCAATAGGTCTCAGCTTTTACTGTAATCCGGCTTCTAGGCTGGCAATCAAGTGACATTCACAACTTATTTTCTTGTTCTATTGGCAGATCATTTTCTTATTTAAGCTGTATTTTATTAATTTTCATATGTTTATTTCTTATTATTTCAGATATTCAGAGTTCAGAATATTTTTTTCATTCTCCCCACACAGATCATTAGACTGTAAATATTAACAAATCTAGTCACGCCTTTTGAAATATGTTGCCACTCACTTTTGCCATCTTTTGTCAAAATGGCCCCCTGCGGGGGGGCAGGACAGATGTGATAAAAACACATGTGCGCATGCATTAGCAAACCACTAGCCCCATTCATTTAGCATGTGCATTATGTCCACAGGGCTAAACTAGACTGGTCCAAAAAAAAGAGGCTCCACTCAGCACTCGACAAAAAAGCGGGATCTTCTGGACCCATCCTGTTAGCCGTTTCAAGAGAAAGAAGGGGACCACCATACAAATCATTGGGTAATTCTTATTCCAGGTTACACCTCCCCCACCAGCTATAGGGTTGAGATAGCCGCATGTCAGCTCACGTACCCATGGACCTTTGAAGACAAAGTGGAGAGGGTGGTTCTTTCTAAAATGTGGGGAAAATCTCCTTTACACTTTAACATAACGGAAAGACCACATACCATACATCCCAGTGTGGTGTACAGCTAAAACCCCCGCACTTCTCAGTCCTTAAACCAGTGGTGATGCGGTTCGACGGCACGTCCACAGATACGCAGGGTAACCTGACCGTGATATTGTGCTGTCGGTGAGGTTTGGCCACTACGCACAGCATCTGGATCTCGACAGCGTCAGCACACAGGGCGTCTCCCGCTCCGCACGTGTGGTTCAGAGATTGTTCCCCGGAGCAGCAGGGATCAGGTTACGGCCCTAGAAATAAACAAAAAAAAATAACAGTGCAGTAATAGTTTTTGTATTATTCACAAAAGAACAATTATACGAAAACAAACAAAGGATGGTGATTTTAAGGGAGTACAACAAATTAACGTGTGTGTGTTGGATGTGCGTGTGGAACCTGCTGCCATAGTATATGTTAGAGATCACATGAAATGACAAATAAATAAGCAAAATACTGAATCCAATTTGATCCACACATTTTATAGTTCTGCATGATGAGTACCGACATTAAAGGTATAGGAGGATTATTACCTTCTCGTGGATCCTCAAGACCAGGGGGCCTGGGGTTTCCACACTTTTTCAGCATGCGAGCTACTTATAAAAGGATCCAAGTCAAAATGATATACCTATACAAAAAATTCTTAATCTATATTTATTTCCAAACAAATATTCTTTATACCTACAAATGGTATGGTTATGTACATGCAATAACCGCATGAGCCAATATAGCACAACACAACACCATTATCTATGTACATTTTATGTCATTCACCCGAGTTTACTCTTATGACTTGACTGAATTGAATCCGGCAGAGATGCATAGTCTGGAAAATTGGTGGTAACTCGCTGACAAGTTTGTCGTGTTTAGCTTTCCTTCACTGAGGCGGATGTTTGCGCATGTGCAGACACCTCAGTGTCAGTCAAAATTACGCGTACCACCAAATGTGCAGTCAACCTAAGTGTCAGTAAAACATTACTGAGTTAAAACACACATGTGCAGTCACCTAAGTTGTCAGTAACACATTTCAGAGTATAAACTAACACACATGTGCAGGTCACCTAAGTGTCAGTAAACCATTACTGAGTAAAACCACAGAAGTTCATTTGACTGGGGTGACATGTCCATGTGCCATGCCTGTTTTTTTTAATCCAACTATTTCCGCTCCTCAGTTTATCAAATAATTTGCCATCCACACATATCTGCGTATCAATCACATTGTAACATTCCAAAACATGTGCTGTTGTCCTTACGTCCTGTCCTGCGTTGGGGAAAAACACAGAAGTGGGCGGGGAGCATTTGATGGCAGCGCTGGTAACTGGCCACTTTTAACAGTGCTTAGAAGACACTCAGAGTAAAGACGTATGTTTACAAGCACTGACCGTCTCAGCCTGGTTTAGTCCTGGTTTAGTCCTGGTTTAGTCCTGGTTTAGTTGTTTCAAGCGTGAGAGTCCCCGCGATCACTTTGCTGCTTCTGATGTGAGGTGTTCGCTGCTGCGAGCATCTTCACAGCGAACAGGTTGTTTTATGGGTAGTATGATCCATGCTTCAGTGATCAGAGGGAATTTAGGGGTATGTGGCTGTGGCTTGATTAACGCAAAACTCCGGTTATCTCTGAGCTCCACACAAATGCATTAACGGAGTTTTCAAAAAATCTCCACTTTGCCCGGATGGTTTTTTGTAATATATTAGTTCTTAGAATG